GATTGTGGGTGGAATCAGCGCATGTCCTGCAGTCCAGAGGCCTGAATGGGCAAACCCACGGCAGAGGAGAGGCGGCTGTCCTTGGATTGGGGTGAGCAGCAGCAACTCCTGCCCAGCTGCAGTGACTCCAGCTGGCAGCTGAAGCAGGGCAAAATGGCATGCAATGGCTGCTGGCCCTAGCCTGCTGCACCTCTGAGGTCCAGCCTAACTTGGTGGGAAGCTCTGATCTTCTCCAGATCAGTGCCACCATGGCCCTGTCTCCTCTGCTGGTGGAAGCAGCAGCAGGCAGGAGGACCTGTCCGTGTATTCATCCTGTCTTGCGTTCTCGCAGCTGAAGGTGTCACTGCGAAATTTTTGAGTCATCAAAGAGATAATGAGCATTACTCACTGCCTACCACGTGGGAGTATTTACCCACAGTAATGAAGAGAGGAAGGAGGCAGCCAAAGGTGTGGTCTGGATCCAGAAATTCTGGTGAAACTGCCGGGAAGTGGTAACAGCTGATCCCTGCCCCAGTTATGCAGGGAGAAATCCTCGGGTGTGAAGTTTTGGGTCCCCTGTATATCCAAAGGAAAACCTCTGGTCACCTGCACCTCCACGTGGTTTTGCATGCAAAGGAGAAGGACAAATTGGTCCTTCCCCTCCTACTCGTAGAGTGAGTGGACAGGCAGAATGGAGACTACCACCGTCTCTGTAAATCCCATCTGGAGGCAGGGAATGAGCTAAGGATGAAAATGAGCGTGGTACTTTTGACTTGCCCCCTCGTGCAATGGGAGGACAGACCACAGGCTCTGGGCTTGGGCTGCCCGAGCAAGGTGGTGGTCTGTTCCTGGGGTACTGCCATGTTTGGGGGTCCCTGGCATTTGCTGCTACACAAGAGCCCTGGAAGGAGCAGCAGAACAGAAGTTAAAAAATCAGTACGAGTGCAGCTAGCCGGGAGTCCAAGAACAGCCGTGAAATCTGGGAAAGGCAGCAGATAACAGCAAGGAATGGGCTGGTGCTGGGGGGAGAGGTGACGCCACCAAGGCCACGCCACAGATAAGGCCACCAGGTTTACATGGAGCAAGAGCAATGTGATGCAATCTGGCTTGCTTGGCCTCCTGCCGTTGGTGCCCAACCAGATGGAAAGCCTGCAAACAGCGCTGTGGTCACCCAGGAGGCAAAGGTGTGATAATGGCTCACAATGTGATGAGTGATCCCGAGTGCCATGGACATGGCGGGTGTGTATGTGTGTATGTGTGGGAACAAGCACAAAGGCAGGGTCAATGCCACCAGGGAACAAGCTTGAGATCAGTTTTGGAAGTAGAATTCTCCTTCCTTGCCTTCGCCACCTGCAGCAGAGTTTCTCTGCCCTGCTTGCAGTGAGACTGCGTCTCCAGCTCTGCAGGCCAGCCCAGGACCTTCATACCTGCCCCTCCTGCCCTCCTTGTGGGGCTTGCAGCTGGCAGGGCTGTGGGGAGGAGGCAGCAGAGCCAGGACCCTCACTCCTGACCCAGGAGAAGCTGGAGGGGAGTCCAAAGGCAGCCCCAGACACAGGGGATGGGGAGCAGCTCCCCCATGTGCTGTTGAACCTCTGGGAGCCAGGGACCCTGGATACAGCAGAAGCTCCTCTTTGTGGAGGAGAAAAGCCAGGCTCAAATGCATGACTGTCTTAGACATAGCTGGAGCTGCGTGGCCAGCATGAGGGCAGGCAGCCACCGGAACACCTCCTGTCCCACCTGAGGAAGAATTTCCCCACCTCTTCTTTGAGGGGGAGAGCAGGCAGGGATTTCATCGGGGGCTGCAAGCCTGTGCTTGAGAGAAAAGCAGGAAAAGGCAAAACTAGTTTGCAAGAGGTGATTTCCCCTTTACCATCTCTTGATGTGTCATTTTAATTTGCTCTGTGAAGGCAACAGCATTTGAATACCACAGGAACCAGCTGGAGGGAGATCAAGCCTTGTATGTGCCAACAGCTTCTTCCCAGCACCACGCGACCTACTGCCTCCACCACTAAGGGGATGCAGATGTTTCCTGCTCCCTTCCATCCAAGGAGGGTGATCTGTAGCACACAACATGTCCCAGCTGCACAGCCCCAGCCCATTGCTCCTGCACTGCCACCAGTATGACCCAAAGAGCCAGGCAATGCTCAGATCTGGTGGCACAGCATGGTTCTCCACAGCAGTGGCACCAGACACACTATGATCAGAATCTGGGTGGGGGTTTTGGTAGTAGAAACATTAAAGACGACCATAAAGGCCCATGATAGCCCTCATCTAAGGCTGTGCTGATGTTGGTGTGGCAGCAGCTTGCAGGAGGAGGCCCCATGATTTCCATGTAGTTTAATCTTGACTGGGGTCAGATTTGCAAGGTGGGCACCCAAGGAAATACATCCGCATGTGCCAGAGAGTGATAGCTGCTGTGTCACCAGGACCCCCCAAACCTCATGCACAGAAGGGCTTGGTCAGGGCCTTTGCAGCTCTATACATGACCCAGCAAGGATGGAGATCTTCCACCTCCCTGCTGGTCTGAGTTGCTCACCCTCTGGGTAGGACTTCTGTCCTAATTCCCAAGCTGAACATCTCAGGACTGTGATTTATGCCTGTTGCTTTTTATTCTGTCATCTGGCATTACAAAGAGGTTGGCTCCATCAGCTGCCCTTCCAGCAGTTGTAGGCAGCTATCAGATCCCCCCTTGGCCTCCCCTGTACTAGACTAAACAAGCCCAACAGGCCCCCATGTGCCTCAGGAACAACTGCTAATGCAGTTAAATATTTACTTTAGATGAGGGATTTCCAAAGTGGAATAATAATGAAAGCCAAAGGTTATTGAACTGTGTAAACTCTGTGAAGAGGGAATATAAAACATGTGCACAGCCTCCTCGGCAGAGGGGAGGAATGGTTCTGCAAGGGAAATGCTGAATTGGTCACCTTCCCCCTTCCCAAAAGCCAGCCACAGCGCTGAGTTGGCTGGAAGGACCACCCAAGGGCAAGGATGGAAGCAGCCCCGGGCAGGGCCCATACACCTCTGGCCACGGGGGATGCTCACCAAGCTGCTCCCTCTTCTCTCAGATGGCTGGGGCCAGCGTGGACCTTCCTAAGCCCCAGGCAAGACTGGGGGCTAGAAATGTCCTCAGCACGGTCATGGCTAGCTCCTCAGCAAGTGCAAATGTGGACACTGCGGGTGTCTGGAGCTCTCCCAGCCTGCTGGGGATTCCTGGAGGACAACTCCCTGCCCTTGTGCATCTCCTGCCTGCTCCCAGGATGAAGGAGGCCTGCTGTCACTCGTGGCCCAGACTTCATCTCAGCAAGTCTGTCCCAAACAAGTTTTTGGTCAGCACTACTCTTCAGCTATGCCCTCCACCTTTCCACCCGGTGGTCCTCTGTTCCATCCTTCACCAGTTGATTTTGATTCACCAAATGAAAATGGGGGTGGATGTGGAAAATTCAGCTTCCCAGAAAGAGGTGATGAGGATGTCACGCGGTGACCAGGACAAACCAGGATACATGGAAAGCCTGATGTCGAGCATCCAGTCTTGCAGGTGGAGGAGCTGGCATCTTCTGGGATGGTGGTGCTTGCTGAGAAGTCCTTAACTGAGGAGTTGGCGTCTCTTACCACTGAGGATCCTCTCCAGCCTCTCTGTCCCCTCCCTGCTGTATGTGACACCTCTGTGCATTTAAACTGGGTATCCATGCACACAGCCCCCTTCCATCACACTGAATCTTATCATAAAGATCATTTTGCTCTGTCGATCTCAGCTGCAACTGCTTATGTGACCAAGCTGCTGAGTGGAGCAAGGTACTGAAGCGCCCATGAGGATGGTAGAGGAGCACAGGCAGGGGCTGCACCTGCAGCTCCTTGCTCCCACTCAGCTGAATTCCATTCCCTCCAGCCCCTCTGTGCCCCCTCCCTGTCCCATCCCACCCACTGACAGGGTGGGCTTGCCAGAGGATGACAGCAGACCTCCTTGTGTGTTTGAGGTCTCCCTCCTGGGGCCTGGCCAGTGCATCAGGCACCTGAGCATCTGGCTGGCTGGGTCTCACAGGGTAACAGGGTGGCCACAGCGCAGATACCCAAATCAGCCTAAATTTCCTGGCTTTTTCATGTGAAGTCACAGAATCAGAGAATCACAGACTGGCAGGGTTGGAAGAGACCATCAGAGATCATCTAGTCCAACTCCCCTGCCAAAATACATTCATCTAGAGCAGATTGGATGCGATTGTGTCCAGGTGGGTTTTGAATATATCCAGAGCAGGAGACTCCACAGCCTCCCTGGGCAGCCTGTCCCAGTGCTCTGGCACCCTCAAAGTAAAGTTTTTCCTCATGCTGAGATGGAATTTCCTGTGTTCCAGTTTGTGCCTGTTGTCCCCTGTCCTCTTGCTGGCCATCACTGAAAAGAGTCTAGCCCCACCTTCTTGACACCCTTTAGGTATTTAAAAGCATTGGTGAGATCCCCTCTCAGTCTTTTCTTTTGCAGGTTGAAAAGACCCACGTGTCAGCCTTTCCTCACACGAGGGAAGCTCCGGTCCTCTGGTCATCTTTGTAGCCCTCTACTGGACTCTTTTCAGCAGTTCCCTATCTTTCTTAAATTGGGGAGCCCAGAACTGGACACAGTACTCCAGATGTGGCTTCACCAGGGTAGAGGGGGAGGATGGCCTCCCTTGACCTGCTGGCCACACTCTTTTTAAAGCACCCCAAGTAAAAGTCTCCCGACCCAAATGGAGATACCTGCCATGAATGAAGAACGGCAACTGCAAAGCTGGAGGGCTGATTCAGGCAGGAAAACCTCGGAGGTAAGCTCTCTGGGTGAAGCAGAGATGAATAGCGTTGCCCAACGCTGGCTACAGTGTGAAGGGATTATAAAGCAGCCTCCTGTGACGGCACCTGGAGCTGTCAGGTGGCACTGGGGTGGCTTATCAGTTGCATGAGAGTGCCCACATGGTTCCACTAGGTGCACAGCCCAGCTGTTCCCAGCTCACATCAGGCACTGCTCAAAATGCTGTTTTCCCAGCACCTCTGAGATAAGCCGGTGCCCTCCCCTATAAAGGCAGCCACGAGTGGAGCGAGGTGCACGAGCGCATGTGCTTGAGCTGACCATGTCCGTGAGGGAACTGGTGGTGGTGGCAGTAGCACTGGTGACTCTTGTCACCACTGGTGGTAAGTGCACTCTGCTGCTGGCAGCCTGCTCTTCGGTGGTGGGTTGGGAACCATGGAGAGACCAAAAATGGATGGGAGGGAAGAAAGACACAGAAACTCTGGTTTGGAGAGGAGGTGAGGAGGGGTGAGCAAACACAGTGGCAGTGCGGTGTGGGAGAAGGACTTGAGTAAACACACCGTGCCTTCTCAGCAGTTCAGGGCAAGAGTTACTGGCTAGTTTGTCAACTGTGTTCCACTCCAGAGATGGGTGGGATAGGGACAGCCCACAATGCAAACGGGAACCAGGATCTGGGAGGGCAGCACATACACTGGGGTGGCAACTACTGTCGTTCCTGCCTCCATTAAGTCTTTGCAGCATATTCATAGGATCATAGAATCATAGAATTGTCTAGGTTGGAAGGGACCTTTAAGATCATCCAGTCCAACCATCAACGTAACTCTGATAAAAAACCATCACTAAACCACAGAGGCTCTGGCAAACCGGTGCTACCTAGGTGCACATAGTGGTGGTCCTGCAGGGTCTCGTGTGTGAGCCCTCATGCTCCCAGGACATTGTGCACCGCACAGATGGGCTATGAACTGTTGCTACTGCTCTGCCTGACTGCAGAAATGGAACCAGCTGAATGAAGCTCTCCCTGGGCATGGCTGTTGTCCGGCTGTGCAGCGTCACCCAACCTCAGCCCTCTGAAGACACCCCATGTCCCCATGCAGCACTGCATAGATTCGCATTTCCTGGGATGTGTTGAATGCTCAGTGGAGCTCCTGCTCCAGAGAGTGGAAGAGAGGAGAGGGAATAGGAGGTGGGAACAGGCATTCCTAGCTTTGTCCCAGGTGGCTCAGCAGCAGATGGAGGCTGTGTGCTGTGCTGCTGGGAGGGAGGGGTTGGGGGGCGTGCAGATCCCCTCTCACCAAACCCACACAGCTGATCTGGGTCCTGAGTGCGCCCTGCACAGCCCAGCCTTCCCTTTGGTTCAGATGTGACCCTCTATCAATGCCTCGTGGTCCTGCCACCAGTCACAGATGTGCCACTCTCACAGGTCTCTGGTCTGTTTCAGGGGCAGAGCTGAATGAAGGGAAAGGCCTGAGAAAGGTAAGAGGTTTCTGTTTTTATCTTGCTCATGGCTTGAGATGGGATTTAGTGCCTGGCGTGCCTGGGAGAAAGGCTGTTCCCAGGAGTCATCCCCACCCTTGTGGGTACCAGTCCTCCAGCATCAAACCCGTACGAAAGCCCAGGGTGTGAGTCCCACTGAGGGGTGCTGTCACCTCTCCTCCTTGCTTTCCCCCCTGTCCAGGTCAGAGGGGACCAGGTCACCAGTGGCACTTGCTCCTGCCCAGGTGCCATGGGAGTAAGAGATGGGTGTTGCTGACACTGAAGTGTGTGCTGCGGTTTCTCCTTTCCAGCCGGTGTGTGGAGACATGGTTGAGCTGCAGGCCTGCCCCCTTCTGCACTTGCCTGTCTGTGGGACCGACGGGAACACCTACTCCAATGAATGCCAGCTCTGTGTGGAGCAAATGTAAGCTTATGAAACCTTATGAAACTCCACCAGGAGTTTCATTTTGGCCATCTGAAACTGGGCGCTTGCGAAATATTGTCATTCAGGCTCCTCCATGCCTGGGAAAAGCCATGGCAGATGGGAAGCACATGTGTTCTGACTAGCAAAGAGAAGAGGACTTTTTCACATCAACTGAGCCATGCGCTGGGCTGTGAAGCCTGTGAGCTTTCCAATCCTGAGCTGGCAGTGCCCGCAGATAGGTGCAGGCATGTCCCCAGCCCTTCTCTGCAGGTTTCTGCCATCCTTGGCACCATGTTCAGTGACTACTGTGCAGCTGCAGGCTGAGAGATTTAGCTCGTTGTGTTGACAAGGGACTAATCCCACAGAAGAGCTGAATACTCAGCTGTTGGATCAGCTTGCTAAATCAGACCACCCTGTGGCTTCATGATCAGCAGATCCAAAAGGTGAGGTCAGGAGTCCACGGCAGAAGATCCCCCAGCATGGTGCCTGCAAGCCGGCAACGAACCAGACACTCTGTAGAGGATGAGCAAAAGCCTCACTGTCTGTGCTGCCTGCAATTAGAGAAGGGATGGTTGAACTTAATGGGCAGAAAGGGCTACTAGGCATGTAGTCTGGACAGTCAAATGGGACCACTAATTCTTTCAAAGCAACCTCTGTGAATGCAGATGCCCAGTTTTGTGCCTCGCTGCTCTTTTTGGCAGAACTTCACACCAAAGGTACCACCATAAACTTGAGGACCAGGGTAACAGGGACCTCATGAGAAGCACATGGTTGCTTTGGGGTAGTGTTTTCATCCAGGTTGGGAAGTGACTGTCTGAGCAGGGATTCCTGCTAGAAAGGGACCAAGGTGAAGATCAGGTTGAACACAGGTCAGCAGTGCACTTGCACAGCAAATAACACAAACTGTGTGCTGGGCTGCAGGAGGAGAGGGATGCCCAGCTTGTCAAGGGAAGATGCAAGGAGGTGTGGAGTAGTTGTGTCCAGTTAGTCTGGGGAAGGGGAGGCCTGGGGGGATCTACCAGCAACCTATGGTTGCAAATGAGATGGATCCACACTCTTCTTGGTGGTAGCAGGTAGCCACAACGAGCAGCCCCAGCGGGTACAGGTTGGACACAGGGGAAACACCTTTCCCAGGAGGGTTGTGCACCAGGGAGGCAGGAGGGGTCTCCATCCTTAGTGGGGTTGGTTAGGGCTCAGACAGAGCTATGGCCACCATCACCTCACCCTGGGGACAGCCCTGCTGTGAGCAGGTTGGTCTGGAGACCCACCAACAGTGCTGCACACCTGGGGAGGGCACATCTGTGGGCCAGGATGGCTTGCAGTCACCTCAGCTTTTTAGACAGGAAAATGAGCAAGGCAATTTTGTAAGAGTCAGCTCCATTCCACGGGCTGGATAGGAACCAAAGTAGGGCTCGGGGAATATTTTTTTGAGCTCTTACTCTTTTTTTTCTTATGTTATTCTAGGAAAACCAGGCAAGATATCCAGATTTTGAAAGACGGGGAGTGTCAAGATATCTGAGCTTTATTGTAGCTTTCCTGAGCCCAGAAACAGGTGATTAATCGATCCTGTGTTCTCTGTGCTGATTGCACATTTAAGCTAGCAATGGTGAATAATAAAATGACATGCACAATCTATTTCAACAGCACTTTTTTTGTGCAAGGCTGAGGGAAGCCAGTTCCCACAAAGGGCCACTAAGAGCGTGCAGTCAAAACATTCATTTCAAATCCACATCACATACCAAGGGCTCTGCACTGTGAGTATTATTTCACCCACGTTCCTGTGAGGAAGGCCATGTGGGAGTAGCAAGAAAACACACAGATCCTGGTGAAGAAGATGCTGAACAAGTGCAGTTTTTTTTCCTGATGGAGGCAATTTAGCAAGGGGAAAGCAAAGTTTCTTTAGCGTTGGAGAAGACAACTCCCTAGCTCTGTAAACACCACCACTGCCAGAGCTGATGTAAACTGTAAATAATAAGATACGCACTTCTCACGTTCAGCTTTTTATCCAAGAACCTTTCACAATAAAAAGCAGCCCAGATAGCACATGGGAGCAGGGAAAGAGCCTGAGTGGAGGCCTTGAATGCAAGGGACCCTGGATGTCTGCTCCAGCACTTGAGAGCAACTCCCAGACTGAATTAATTACCCAGCAATGCTCTCCGGGAACTGCAGGTTCCCATTCAGTTGCCAAATTTCAGGTCTAGGTTTCTTCTGGTGTCAGGGCCGTCTTCGGGACTGTGGCAGGGCACAGTCCCACCAAGACAACAGCATAAGTGTGCGTCAGCATTCCATGCTCCCATGCTCCCTCTGCTCTTTCATCTCCCACATCTACCAAGATGGGATACAGCTCACCTTTCATGGAATATCTGTAATGAGGTTGTACAACTTCAGTACAACCTTTGCTCGCTGTGGCAGAGATCAGAGGGCACTGGCTGATCCAGGACTTGCCTCCTGAGTGCAGTTCAGTCCTGCACCAGGTGTTGTGCTTCTACAAAATGTCTAGTTGAGGTTTCTGATCAGCTTTAGAAAAGCACTGGGCTGCTTTGAAAAGTGCTTCAGTGTGAACTGAAACCCTCCAAGGACAGGTCTGTGCTCACCCACAGGGGATCACGCTGCTGTGACCTGCTACTGTGCTCACACAGCTCATTGCCAGCCATTGGGGAAGGGTGCGGGGTGCATCACAAGGTCAAGTCAGTGACCACCCTGCGAGCCTGGGAGCCATGCCAGCCTCATGGCTACTGTGCCTGACCAGCTGGTCATGTAATCCATCCCCATACACCTCTTCCAGTTCTGCACCTTCCTGGAAGCCCCAGGTGGGACACTCCAGCACTGTAATGCGCAGCAAAGCAACTACTGATAGACATAATGCTTGTCCTGGTTTCAGCTGGGAAAGAGTTAATTTTCTTTCTAGTGACTGCTGTGAAAGAAATGTCAGTAATTCCTGTCGGTTTCCTTTCTGCTAAATGAAGTTTATGCTTTTCAAGGGCTCTGTTCAGCTCCCATGGAAGCTGAGGATGAGTATAGACACAACAATGGAATGGCCAATGGAATATTCTGCACCATAGTTGTCATGCTCACTCTATTAATAAGGGTTGGTGGGGGGTGTGGGCACGGAATCTGATCACTGCTGGGATGGAGCCCAAGAGTGACAGGTCATTACTATTGTTATTTTCCTTTTCTGTTATTGTTTCTATTAAACTGTCTTTATCTCAACCTACAAGTTGGGTTTTTTTCCCCCTTTCCTTTCCCCTCCTTTTCCTTCTTTTCTCCCTGTCCTTTGTGGGATGAAGGGGGAGAACTGCACAAATGGCTGCGTGGTCCTAGCTGCTGGCTGGGGTTAAACCATGACAATGCTGCAGCTGGAAATAGTACTGAGGAGCAACAATGCCCACGCTTGGTCAGATGGAAGATCCACCTGATCCAGTATCCACATTTTCTGGCCCAGAGGCAGCTGCTGTCACTAAAAGCTGTTCCCAAGGCTAAAAAACCCTAGCCTGGCTAGTTGCTTGGAGTCGCCCAGAGCTTTGATTGTCCCTGTTCTCCTTCCCCAGACAAATTCTGCAGAAGTGGGGACACCTGTTCGTGGCTGCTGCTATTATACCATCTACTGATTTGTCCTGGGACTCTACAAACCCATTTGTCCCCTCCCAGTCCCCAGCTAGTGAGGGAGAAGCGGTCTGGCTGTGTGTTGCCCTCTGCATTGCCAGTCCTTCTGTGCAGACCCTCAGATGGTGTTCCCCCTGCACCACAGGGAAGGGTTTTGGTGGGGTTATGACAATTAGAGGTGGCTCATCTCCCTCCCGGGTTTTTCTGCCTCTGCAGAATGGCAGGCAGGCAGGATGTCTTCGGGCAGCTCTGTCCCAGCTCTCTGCCAGGGCTGAGGGGAAGGTCGTGCCCAGCACGTAGCACGGTGTGTAACTGGGGGGACACCAGCATCTCAGCCCCACGCAGTGCCTCCAGCCGCGCAGGGAGAGTGGCTGCAGCCCGTCACTGCCTGTCCCCAGAGAGCCATGACTATTTGTTTGCAGAGGCTAGGAAAAAACAACACAGACAATTTCGGGGGCTCTTCCGAAGAGGGAAACCGCACGCCTCCAGCACAAAGCGGAGTGTTTATTCGGGAACTGCAGAGCTCAAGCACACGCTTGTGGGCCAGACCTGCAAGGTCACAGCATGGGCAGCCTCGGGACAGGGTCAGCACTGACTCTGCACACAGCCAATTCGGAGATACCCGTCCTCCCCGGGGACGGGTGGATTTGCCTGTTTATTTCACACGGCTCAAGAGCAAGCAGCAGAGCGAGGGGAGGTGAAGGGAGTGATTTAACACCACCACAGACCTCAGGGGCTGGTGCTGGAGGGCTGGATCCAACCCAGTGCAGGGATCCTGGCTCTGAAGCCTGGCAGGTCCGTGTCCAGCAAGGTCAGGCAAGACCCATGAAGCAGCCTGTGGACAGCAAGAAACCTGCAACGCACTGGTCTGTGCCAGGGTGTATGCACACGGATTTGCGCTTTTGCCTACAGTTTTGCCTGTAGAATTTATCTGTTTCCCATCTTTTCATGTTTCCGTCAAGGCAGGGGGAGGAAGGGATTACCTGCTTTCACAGGCACCATAGTTCGTCACGCAGAGCTACTGGTAGTCCTGCCCCCAGAGAAGTGTGTTGCAGCCAGGCAAGTTGCTCCCAGACCTGCCTCAAGTCAGGGAGAGAAAGACAAGCCTGAAAATTGCTTCTCTGTCATTGTCATGCAAGACAAAACTGGAAGAAGCGGCCCCCCACATCCTGCTGGGGTGACAGTGGCGTAGCTCCCCCAGCTGCCTGTGTTGATCTCCCAGACAACCTTGGGTTCAGGGCCATGTCCCTGACTGCAGGGAGGATAGGCAGGTCTCCATATATCACCTCGCAGTAGCAATGCCAGACGGCGGTAAACACAGATATCATTGAGGCTTGTAAGAAGCTTTGACTCAGATATAGATCCAAAGCCCAGCATGGCTGTGTCTGTAGTGACAGCAGTCCCATGAGACAGGTCAGGTGGCAGAATCCAGCCCTAGGTCCAGCTGTCCCTTGGGCAAAGGGCTTTTGGGTAGTGAAAGCCATGTAGGGGGCCAGCACAGTGAGATGTACCCAAGGTCGGGGGTGTTCCCCTACCGAGCAGTTCCAGTGACACTGTAGGAGTCTGTGGCACTGGAGTTGCTGAGGTTGCTGGACACTTGGTTGACCTCCTCCAGGCCCTCACTTAGGAAACTGAATGAATGAATCAGTGGGGGTGGCCCAGGGCTAGTTGAACCAAAATGTGGAGATAAAGGGGAGAGAAGCAGCACCTGACACACTGTAAAATGTCCAGCGGCAACAGTTCATGCAACTGAGACTGGCCAGAAAGTTTAACCTACTTACACAAATAGGTAGAGGGCAGAGAAGAACCTAATGAGGTTCAGCAAGGGCAAATGTAGGGTCCTGCACCTGGGGAGGAAGAACCCCAGCCACCAATACAGGTTAGGGGTGGAAAACACTTCTGAGGAGAAGGATCTGGGAATCCTGGTAAATAGCAAACTTTCCATGAGCCAGCAATGTGCCCTTGTTGCCAAGAGGGCCAATGGGATCCTGGGCTGCAGAGGGAAGAGTGTGGCCAGCAGGTCAAGGGAGGTCATTCTCCCCCTCTGCTCTGTACTGATGAGGCCACAACTGGAATAATGCGTCCAGTTCTGGGCTCCCCAGTTCAAGAGGGACAGGGAACTACTGGAGAGAGTCCAGCATAAGGGATTGGAGCATCTCCCTTATGAGGAAAGGCTGAGAGAGCTGGGGGTCTTTAGGCTGGAGAAGAGAAGGCTGAGGGAAGACCCTATTAATGTTTACAAGTACCTAAAGGGTGGGTTGAAGGAGGATGGAGTCAGACTCTTTTCAGTGGTTTCCAGCAATAGGACGAGGGGCAACGGGCACAAGCTGGAACATGGGAAGTTCCATTTAAATATGAGGAAGAACTTCTTTAGGGTGAGAGTGCCAGAGCCCTGGAACAGGCTGCCCAGGGAGGTCGTGGAGTCCCCTTCTCTGGAGATTCTCAAGACCCGCCTGGATGCAGTCCTGAGTAACGTGCTCTGGACAATCCTGCTTTAGCAGGGGGGTTGGACTAGATGATCTCTAGAGGTCCCTTCCAACTCTGACAATTCCATGATTCTGTGACTCTGTGAAATTCACCCATAGCAAAGGGGATGCAGCTTTGCTCACATCTGCTACAGAGCCCTGCTGGAGAAGAAGAGTCTGCTTTGTTGCTGATGCTGGTGGGAGACAGGGAGGTGACACTGGGCTCTAAAATGAGCATTGTGGGCAAGTCTCTGCCTCTTAGTCTCTCCACTTCAGGGCAGAGACAACTCAAAACTGGGTGCTGGAGTCTGTAATTTCCACAGTGTTACCCCTCACCAAAGGCTTCCCACGGATAATAAAATCACTTCCCTGGGATTTAAAGTAATTCACTCATAAGATCCAAATCTCTTCAGAGATTTTGGTCCTGAGAGATGCTAGTGCAGGCTCTGTACGATTTTAAAGTACATCTATTCCATTAAACACCTCTAAAGACTCTGAGTCCACAATGACTCTTTCTTTTACCAACTTTCCTTACAAATCTATCAGGTTCTACCCCGCTGGGAGATGGCTGGAACGAAGAAACATCCACAGTACCAGCTCTCCAGTGTCACATGGCAATGTTTTGCTGAGTCAAGAGTGATTTATCAGACCTCACCAGGTTTTGGAGTGACTGAGTAGATTGGGGGGGGGCAAGGGTGAGAAGCTGAGTCAGTCAGTCACAGTCTGAGCACACACCCAGTTCCATACTGAAACACCCAGGAATTTCCACCCCTTCTTCCATGTTTCATATCACCTACAAGCAGCCCAGACTATGTGAAGCTCTTTGTAGAGGTGTATCCAGACATGATATCCCCCTATGGCCAGACAATCATCGAATAGAATCATTTAGGTTGAAAAAGATCTTTAAGACCATCAAGTCCGACTGTTAACCTAACACTACCAAGTCAAATTATGTCTCTAAACCCCACATCTACATGTAAGTTTAATACCTCCAGGGATGGTGACTCAACCACTTCCCTGGGCAGCCTGTTCCAATGCTTGACAACCTTTTCAGTGAAGAATGTTTTCCTAATAATCAATCTAAACCTCCCCTGGTGCAACATGAGATTGTTTCCTCTCATTCTATTACTTGCTACCTGGGAAAAGAGATTAACAACTACTTCACTACTCCTTTCAAGTAGCTGTAGAGAGCAACAAGGTCTCCCCTCAGCCTCTTTTCTCCAGATTAAATACCCCCAGTTCCCTTAGCCTCTCCTTATAGGACTTGTTCTCTAGAACCATCACCAGCTTTATTGTTCTTCTTTGGATGTGGTCCAGCACCTCAATACCTTTGTTGTAGTGAGGGGCCCAAAATTGAACACAGTATCCAAGGTGCGATATGTTTTCATCCTCCCCAGGCACTGTCTTTGCATGATAGAGCATCCTGCAAGATACAGTTTTCAGGATGTCTGCATGAGGCAGAGTGACCCCAGAGCTGTGCAGCATCACACAGTGCTGGAACATGGACACCCTCACCAGCGTGGGACACCTTGAACTTCACTTGTGACTGACAGACTCCCCTGTGAATGACTTGGAAGCCTCACATCTCTTTATGCCACCCATGCTCCTGGCCCACCCTTCCCGTATCAGAGCCTTCCCATTATCTTCTCTGCTGCCACCACCCTGCTGCTCCTTTTGGGGCTGCTTAACCTGCCCCACCTCTCTGGAGGTACCATGTAATCTGCAGTGGACACAGGGGAGGAGCCCTAGAGAGAAGTGGTAACTCAAGGGATAAGCAGAAAGGCAGCAGAGATGACCACGGACCCCAGGTTACATCTTAAGAAACCCAGATGCATGGAATTTCAAACTCTGGAGCTTCTAGGGACCTAGAGACCAAACATCCAGAGAGCAAAGACTGTACATTAAAAAAAAAAAAAGCCTGGCAAAGACCGGAGGCAGGTCAGATCTTCTCACCCCTGAGGAGCTGCTCTGCTCCAGGACAAGTCTTGGGACTGCACAAGGAAGTGGAATCATCCCTGCCATGAAAGGCAGGCCTTTCCCAGAGTACCTGGGATACACTGTTGGGTTCTGCTACCAACCTTGGAGCCACTTTGATTTCATTGTGGGGGGAGGTGGGGGTGGTGTTAGGGGCACTAGAACCTCACCAGAGCATAAGCAGTTGAGTATCTCATGGAGAAAAGTGCTGGTAGAAGATGAATCCCATATACTCCAGCACTGAGTGTGTTAGAAACTGGCCAAAGTGGTGGCATGTCCCTGGTCCAGCAGAATTGTTATACACAGGTAGAATCTGAAGTTCTTCTGTGCTAGCCTGGCATGAGAAACTGAAGGCAGTTTGCAGAGGAGGAGAGAATTGCCACCTCATCCAACATGCAGGAAACTGAGGCAGACCGACCTGGGGGCCCAGCCATGCAGACTGCAGAGCAAGGAGCAGGATCTCAGGATGGAAGCCATTGCACTAAGGAGAAGCTTCCCCTTTGCAGCTCTACTGCAAAGACCCAAAGATGGTCCTAGAGAGCCTGCATGCTGTGTGGGTTGGGGGTTCCAATGAGCAACAGGGAGCTAGGAGCAACCCCTAAAGGATATCCTCCTGTGGGAGCAAGGGACGAGCTGGGTCTTCCCACTGGTTTCACTGGGGCTGCCCATTGCCACCCTACTTCATGAGGGAAGTGTTTTGCTCATAGCCTCGATCCACTGAGTACTGGACCAAGGAGTCATTGGAAAGTCTTCAACACACACAAGCCCTTGGCTAGAGCTCCAGTATGGGTCCACTATTCTGTCTGGATTTCCCAGGAAGGTGATGCAGCCCTTGAACAGGTCACATGAATTTGGCAGTCTCCATCCTCAGGGATTTCCAAAGCATATGGTGCCACAGCCACCCTGACCTCATGCAGTGGACAGTCCTGCTGTGAGGGGGACTGGAATGGAGACAGAGGTCCCTTCCCACCAGGACTGCTAAGGTCCTATGTAAACGCCTTTCAAGCTGTATGCATCCTGTTTCAGACCTCACAAGGGCTCTTCAAGAACTAGCAGTACCTCCCTGCATCTCACTCTGGAAACCAGCAGTGAGGCAGTGTTGCATCCTGCCCTGCCATGCAGCTTCTCTCTTCTCTAAAGGAGGCCATTGGAGTTTATGGTTTAGCAGCAGTGAGTGTAAATTTCCTATCTATCTGAAGTGGAATTATTTGCTGGATAAAGGCACTAAAGTGTTTTGCAGTCTACACAGTAGATCCTGGGCAGAGACTCTCACACCTTTGTATGCTGATAAGGAGAATATTATTACCCTGCTAGTGGTCTGGCCAGATAAGATGTTTTGGGCGGGCAGTCTGCACTTTTTTCAAGCTCTCATTATGCTGCACCAGTATCTCCAGATGCTGTTCCCAGGGAACTAAGCTTCTTTCTCTTTAAAACTGCAAAGAGCAATGGAGAGTTTAGGCAAAGACCACGCTTATTCGGACTCTTCCCTGCCACCCTCTGCAGCCCGTGAGGAGTATGCTGTGCCAGGTAATGATAAGACTACTACTAACTTGACTTTTTAAGAGAGGAGAAAGTATCTTTGTCAACAGTGGTTTCTAAATATGGAGTTAATAATTACCAGTTTATGCTTGGGGCATAGAGGATGTACATTTAACTGCAAATATATGTGGCTTTTTCCGTGTTTTGTTTCAGATCACAAAGGCAGAAGCACTTATAAGGGTTCAGACAAAGTCCCTCAGGCAGCATCAATGTACTGTCTGTTTGCAGGCTGGCAATACTGTCTCATTGTTCTCTTAGCTTCAGGGATTATTATTTTTTTCTTTTCATTTCACCTCTGTAACTTTGTGTCCTCTGCTAAACATTTTTTTCATCAGGGTGCAGATGTTTTACTGTCATCTTTCCTGCCTCGGGCTAGCAGGTGACAGCCAGCTTTGGAGCAGCAGTGGGAGCGTTCTCTTGGACCAGTTAGAAGTGAATGTGAGGGGTGTTTGCTACCTGTGCAAAACAATGTGCTTAGGGGGGGTTGGAAAGGACACTGATTGCAAGCAGCTAAAAATGCTTTTATGTCTCACAACACACTTCGAGAGGGGGAGGAATTCACCTTGGCTGCAGAGGGATGTGCAAGGGAGGTGTACTTCAGTAGTTAAACTGAAACCCTCTGCAGATCCTGCTACTGCAACTTGTAACCTCATCTTCCCAGGCAGCTTCCTGGCTTTGGCTGGTGTGGATGCCAGAGCCATCTCCTGCTGGCTGTGCCCTGCTGCCTCTGATACTGCTTCACGCCAGGGAACAGCCTCCCGTCTGGGGAAGGTCTGCTCGGCTGTACCTTGTGCAGTTTTTAATCTCAGAGGCTGACACTGTCTCCGGTCATGCTGAGATGCCCCTGCCACGACTGAGAAACTCAGGCACTGTTGTTGCATTTGGCCTTCACATCTGTATTACATCCTGCTGTGCCCCTTCTCTTTGGTCTGTTTAGGCTGGATTTTTTTTCGGAAAGGGGCCATCTTCTCCCGTGTGGTTCCGCTGTGCTCAGAGCAAAGGGGACTCCTGGAACTATCCTACAAAAACCAGCAATAAAAGAACAGAAAAACTGACAGCAAATATCAGAAAGTAGGATTATTTTGTACTTCGTGGTTGTGATGGTGGCTGTTGTTATTATCAGGCCGCACTTGGAATCCCATGCCCAGATTTGGGCAACTCAGCACAGGAAAGACAAAGGCAGCCTGGGATGGGTCCAGTGCAGGACCACCAAGACTGCTGAGGGCTGGAGCACATCGCATACAAGGGTAGGCAGAAGAAATCAGGCTTGTTCAGCCAGGAGAAGAGAAGGCTGTGAGGATCTCATTGCAGTCATTCTCTGTTTAACAGGGGTTACAGGCTCTTTTTAGAGGCGCACAGGGAAAGGACAGGAGGCACCAGGTCCACGTTGCAAACATGGCTGGATAGAAAGAAAAAAAAATTAACAGTGAGAATGGTGTGGAGACCAGAGAGGTGGGCTTTGAGGTATTCCCAGCTTCTCTGGGCAGGGTCCTGGACAGTCCAATCTAACTTTAAAGTTGGCCCTGCTTTGATGAGGACATCTGAACAGAGATCAAATTAGATCCTTTCCAAGCTAAATTTATGCAAAATTAGTATTCATTATTAGAAGTGTCTTGTGTAAAGATCTACTTTGGGTAGAGGCTGGCTGCTACTGTCAGTTTTACTTTTTTCTGTCCTGGACTATGTTTTTTCTTGTGTTTAACAGAAATTCAGGATACAAGAGCTGTAGTCCCAACTAAGCCTCGGAAGTCCTTCTCACCCTGCCAGTTCTCCCAGCTGGACAAGGGAATGACAAAATTGAAAGGAAATTAAAATCTTCACTGATTTGACCTAACACTTCAGTGCGAGCTGAAGCTATGAAAGGAGAAGCCGCTTCCTGAGCACACACTGTTACGCATCTTTTAATGCAATGGTGATTTGTGGTCTGGGGTTTCCTTATTCCTGGTTGGATTCATTGCCTGGCTCCAGGTGGGGCCGTTCACTGTTCTTATCTTGTCTAGTTGGACCTTCTGCTGATGGCAGTAGCTTCCTTGCCTCCTGGTCTGTACCAGCCTTCTTTTACGTAACTAAGTAGAAGTTTAACACAAGTTCAATTTATCTAGGTGAAAGTTCATGGCTTGCAGCCTAAAGCTTCAGCAACTTTAGCTACTTATGCTAAGGGAGTTCTATGTAAGTATTATATCAATGTGGCCTAGCACTAAATGATTAATTCTAAGTGATTAATTTTATTTAAACGGAACCACTAATATTCTCTATTCCTTTGCAAGGCTCTTTGTGGAAGGAGCTGGATGTGATTACATCTGGAAGAAGTGGGTTGTAGTTTTGCTTTCTCATTGTGTGGGTTTTGTTGAAACTATGAATATTGGCGCTCTTGTGGCCTCTTCAGCGCACGTGTGGGAAGGGTCCTCTCTCCCTCCAGGCCCCGGGAAAGTCGTGTTGCTCCTGAACAATATCCTTTGTCTCAAGGGAACAGTCTGGTCTCCTGCTACTTGATCTACGTCAGGTCTTTATTATCATAGGCAGGAGTCCAAGCTAGAAAATGCACGGCTGACGGATCAGAAACCACAAGACATATTGCCACATCATCAGGGATGTTGTCTGTTAGGACAAAGGCATGGAGAGGAAGTTCAATGTTGGTTTCAGTGAAGTTCAGGTATTCATTCACCAAGGTGTAGACGGCTGAGATGTCTTTGCCTCAGGAAGACATTTGCAGCCATTTGCAGCCAATGAAATGGGCATAACTTACCTTGGCCAGAAGGCACTGCACAGGGTGACTGGGACCCAGGGGGTGTCCCTTTCTCCTGGTGGCTGTAGGCAAGCTGCACATCTTGCCCCAATGGTAAAGTCAGCATTGGAGCTTTCTCACAGGTCAGTCCATCTTCAGCCCTGCCATGGCTGCTTCATAGCTGCAGACCAGCTTGGGGCTGCTTTTGTGGCTCTGGGACTGGCCTCCTCACCCCCAGGGGTGTGTACGAGTCCTGTTCTTGTCTCTGGTTGGGTCACCATTCCCTACAAGGTTTCAGCCTAACACACACAAGCGTCTGTGTACAGGAAAGCCCGTGCTCTCTGGCTCAGCCCCTTGCCCCCACAGACCTGTTCCTATGTTGCAGAGATGGCTGTTCTGCAGGGCCAGGCTTTCTCCTTAGTTAATTAGATGAGCATCTTAATCACAGTGGTGACCAGCTGCAGCTCTCTGGGGAAAAGGATAACAACGGAGCCTGTAGTGACATCTGGCCAAGGGATCAGATTGTCCCTTGGCCAGGATGTCATAGCAGAACTCAATTTGTCCTTGTAGATGTCATCATCACCCGCCGCTTGAGAGACCGGGAGCAGCTCCGTAAAAGAAAAGCAGAAGCCCAGGAAAAAGACTCAATTCAATGGGTTCTGAGGTAAACCTGGCTTATGCTGTGGGGTCATTTTCTTGGTACGGTTAACCTGAGCCCAGGCATGGCAGCCCAGCCCCTCCACCTTCACACAAGGACAGAGGAGAGCTGGGCCCCATCAGTCTTCAGTGGAGAAAGGTGATCTGCAGCCTGTAGGTCTAGGCAGACATTGTGGGGTGCAGAGAGGGACGGGGGAGGTGGTGGGTTGGGTGGCAAGCAATCCTCAACCAGGGGACAGGGAAAAAGTTTGTGGCCAAGTGTCCATACCCCTGGTGTGGCCACAGGAAGCTGTTGTGTGGGGCTGGGGAGCAAGGCTGCAGAAGCTCAGTTTCTGCTGGGATGAACTGGATCATGCTCACCACCGGGCCTCAGCAAAGCAAGGGGCAAGGGGCAAGAGGGAGAGTCCTCCACCCCACGCACAGCTCTTCACACCTGTGAAATCCCCTGGCAGGGAGCAGACAAAACGGCAAAGGAGAGGCAGAGGAACCAGGAGAGGACGGGGCCGCCAGCCAGTGGTGGAGATCAACCCGGAGCCAGAACCAGAGCTGGACTCCCAGCCCAAGCCCCAGGAGGAGGCTGAGCCAGTGCCCTCCGAGTCAGCAGCCCCATCTGAGCCGGCACATCAAGAAGAGCTGCCCGTGCTGAGCTTCCAGGATATGGTCAGTGGGATGCAGCCAGGAGTGGTGGAGAGGGAGCTGGCAGCCAGGAGCCAGGATCCTGCGGGTGAGCTGCCAGAGAGCCACTTGCCCCACGGGGGCTTGGGGGGCAGTGCAGTGCTGCCTCATGAGGACTGTCACCCAAGGTTGCCCACCTTATCAACAGCTGGCCTGCAGCACAACTACAGCACGGGTCCCTACCCTACCAAACCTTACTTGGGTGGCTGTGAGAGGGGAGGTGGGATGTTGGACGCAGATACTGCTCTTCAAGACACGGGGAGTGATAAAAAGCCACTACTGTCAGTAGAGCCATTGGCATAGGGTTTGTGGTGTCTGGTCCTAAATAGCTCCTTTTCCTAAGGACACCTCTGTGGCTCTGCCAAGAGCCAGGTTAGGGCAGAGATGCTGTGGAGAGAAGATGCAGTCTCTTGAGGCCAGAGCTGGTCAGGGAGAGCCAGAGCCCAGACACACTCTCTCCGCAGTCCAGCCATGGACTGACACGGGGGTAGGGAAGGGTGCTCTAGGGCATGGGGTCGCTGTCTGCAGGGGTCTACCCCCTTGAAACTGACCAGGACTGAGGCACAGAGGGCACTAAGCTGGTCTGAACAGCAGAGTGTGACTGGCGCTCAGGAAATCCGTTTACAGCTAATGCAGCTTGGGCCAGCAGCAGTTGCTCCCAGATCTGGCTTGGAAAGAGGAGTGCACGTTTACTTTAGCGGTCAGTGGGCCAAACATGCAGGTTGCTTCAAAACCAAGAAAACCTAGGATCTGCTTCAGAGGAGGTGTGTGCCCTCTGACCCCCGGTTACTGCATTTCCAGCAATGTCTGTGCCAGGGGAGAAGAAGAGGCCTCTTGCTGCAAAGCGTGCAACACCCTCGTGCCATGGAGAAAACCATTCTGCATCCTGAGGACTGGGGCACACCACACCAGTCCAGCTCCCAGCCCTGACATCTTGAAATGGGCAAGCATCAGGGCTGCATTTATGTGCCTCTCGCCTTTAAACCCAGGGGGGCTTTACCCTCTCCAACTCGCCTCCACAACCCCTGGGACTGCCGTGTCTTTTGAAAAGCAGGCAGGTCACCAGGAGATACCTAACACCACAGGCAATCACAGCAGCCTGGCCACGGGGGCTTTATGGCATGGAGGGGTAACAAACAGGAGCCCCGCAATATGAAATGATCTGTCTCTTACATGACTTATAGGTGAAGAGGAGGTCCTGAAACCAGCAGAAGCAGAAATACCAGAAGCTTGGAATACTCCTCTGGAAAATGAGCACCAGGATAATGAATGCAGCACACACCTTCTATTTTAATTTTCTGTTTGGGTTTTTTAAAAAATATTTTTACTCCTGCCTGACAAACTCCAGTAAGTGTTGCAGAGGGATTTTGACCAGCTCCTTCCCTGTGACTAATAAAGCCCAAACTCTCCCGATCACTCCGCTGTCTATGCTTCTTTCAGGTTACAATGGGAGGTGGGGGGCTCCCACTTGTGCAAAGGCAGTCATTTGGGAGTTGACTGCTGCCAGGGTGGTGGTCCTGTGTGGTGCCCCACCACACTGCAGATTAAGCCTACAGACCTGCATCCACCCATGTTTCTGAAAGGCCCTTCTGATTTGCAGAAACACAAGTGACTTTGCAAAGCTGAAACCCACCATGGTTTTCAGCTCGCTGGAGCTGCCTGGCTTGGGCTTTTTCCTGCACCTGATAAACTCTAGAGCCTCTTGTGTTATTATCTTCAGTCTGAAGGTCTTTCTCACAGTCTGTTTTCCTCCCCGGTAAACAGCTTGCTTTCCTAAAGCCTGGGAAGCATTTTGTTTTTGATTTCTGGGCAACCTCGCTCCGACCTTGCTGAGCCGCTGCGTTAGGCAAACAAAAGATGGTTGAAAACAGCTGAGTGCGACAGGATGAAACTTGGCTGAACCATACACTTTTGTTAGGGAAATGCCATTTAGAGGAAAGACAGGAGATACTGCGCACAGCTGCTGTGTCCCTGGCTCCCCAGCCACGCACCCAGGATTTCTCCTGCAGCCAGGAAGGAATGGGAGGACAAAGAGAGGAATGAAGCCCTCTTTCTCTTCCCACATTTTGGGTCTTGTGGTCTCTTCTCCCATGTGTGGCAAAGGCAGTGGCTCTCTTACATTCCTGTAACATCCTGACACAGGGAGTCTTTCTCCTCTTAGGGTGGGTGGTGGCCTCTATTGCCATGATCTGACTTTCCAAGGGCCTGTCTCCCAGAGCACAGGGTTGACAAGGCACTGAGGTCACCCTTGATTTTGGGGTTGCATGGATTTTTTTTGTGGTTCTGGAGACATTGCTGCCACTGTCCCAGAGCCCTGCAGGCTCTGTGTCTCAGCAGATGTGACATCTCATCAGTGACACTAGAAGCACCATGTCATCACTGATACCCAGTCCTGCTTTGGTCTCAGGGACATCACACGAGGGGCAAGTGCTTGCAAGCCCTTAACATAGCCTCCCCACTCCAAAATCCTGGGGTGACCTCTGCAGTTACACTACCAGAAGCTGTAAAGCACCTGGTGTGTGTCAAAGCGGAAAGCACACAGCAACCCCATAACCATGCAAATGCAGCACATTCCCTACAGGCAGCTCCTGGACAAACAGGTCTCCCTATGCAGGTGTCCTGGCACTGTTTCAGTCTCCATAGACATCTCAGCTAATGCAAGGTTGTGCTCTCCCCTTGAGTGACTGATACCAGTGGGAGCAGAGCAAGAGCTTGCACCTTCTCACCATGAACTATCCAAACCTCGTTCATAACCCCAAATACTTAAGGCATAACCTTGTGGAAGCCCTGCAGCATGGAGGGAGCTGTAGCCTGGGAGGATGCTGAGCCCAGACCTTCATGGGGGTGAAGGCAAATGAGGCAACTGGCCTGAAGAAGAGGCAGAAGCAGGAGGCCATGTTATGGTTGAGCACCATCACAAAAGCTATGTTGGGGTCCTCCTGCGAGTGTGGTGTCCATACCACCTTTCAAGAAGGCTGGGCTGTAGAGTCTGCTGCTGCCAGGCAGGTCAGGAGAACCTTCTGCCTGGCTGAGCCCCATATGTGCCATGGTGGAGGCCAGCAGGAGCTGGTGGCTCTTTCCAGCTCTCCAAACCTCTGCAATGCTCACAGGGAGAGGGAATCAGCCACACTGCCCACCTCCATGTCTGCAGACATTTAGGCTTGCCTGATTCCCAAAGCTCTTTATATTTTGGGGAGAAGCAACTTCTGGGATGGTTTAGACTCATCTCACGGTCCCTGTCAGTCAAGGAGGGCGCAAAACAACCATGTTCCCACCCCTTCTGGTGTTGAAGTGGAGCTGTAGGAGGGGGTGAAGGCCTGGCAGGGTGAGATCTCTGTGAACACAGGGCAGCGCTCATTGTTGAAACAGACCTGGGCAGCGCTGCTGATCCTGCACTGCCAGGGCTGGGGCTCACGGGAATCAGAGAAAGCACCTCTGTCCATCTCTGCAGAGATGCCTTTGGTGGCCATGAGTTCCTGGAGTCACCCTGGGTACTGCCTGCTCTGTCTGAGAGCTGCTTCCTCTCTGACTGTCTCCTTTGGCAGCTGTAAAGAAAAGCGTGCCTGCAAGCAACAAATCTTATCACAAAACAGCCAAGGGAAAGATAAAGCTCTCCTTATCCGCACTTTCACTTGAAATCTACTGTTTTTTCTCTCTGACAAGAGGACAGATAACAGAGCTCTTGCTCGTAGAGATGGGAGTAAAGATAGAAACACCGGTGTCTGTGTACACCCCTGAGGTAGGTCCTGCTGTCCGAGTGGAGCAGGGGATGGACCGGCAACGGTGGCTGTGTGGAGGGGAGGGAGGCTGCTGTTTTGGAGATGCACTGCATCACCTTCTCCCTCCCTTCCCTCCTTCCTGAGCCTCAGAGAGATACCTTTACCCAGGGACATAACGGAGTGTCCAATACAGGAAATACTCAAGTAGGGCTTGAGTCTAACATGAAGGGAAAGGCTGGGAGAGGTCAGAGACCTTTAACTGACTGTAGCCTTCTCGGTGATGAAGAGCAGGTGATGGGTGCAGGGAGATGGCTTCTGAGCCTGACAGAATGCCCTCCTCCTCGATGCGCTGTACCGGTGAGAGGGCTGCGTGAAGCTCTTCCAGGACACTGTAACCTGCTCCCTAAGCCACGGAGACCAAGGCAGACATGTTGTGATATGCAGTGAGTACGACCGCTATGATTGTCTCCATGCTCCTGAGATTCACCTTGGTGTTTGTTAATGTCAACTGGGCTGGTCTGAGCATGCTGCTGTGAGCTCATCTCAGGGCCACAGGTCCTGTCCCCAAGTCCTGCAGAGCGTGGGGAGCCATCCTGAGAGCTGACAGCCACGACAGGACAGCTAAGGAAAGGGAAGCTGGCATCACCTTCAGGAGAACCAGACTCTCCTCTGTCCACTGCCAATTACCTTTCAATATCCTTCCAGGAAACGTGCTTCCAGATCTATGGGAGAAGAAAGGTCATTTGGTTTGTGCACCCTGGCTTCACACTTCTCAAATCGCTCTTGTGAAACGGGGTCCCCTGCACCTGCGGAAAATCAGGAATGATTTGTGGCAGGGTGTTGCTCATGGGTGATGTTTTGAGCCAGGAGGATTTTCTGCTCCTTAGTGAAAGTGAAGTCATAGCTAAGCCTGAGCAGAAAGAAATGGGCCAGCAATTTAGAGTCAGAGGCCACCAGACGTCAATTAAAAGGCATTCCACCCCACAAGAGGCTGGTCTTGCAGAGATAAGAAAACTTTCTGGTTGATTTACCAATATTGACTTTAAGCAGTAGATCCTGGTCACAGCAAATACCCACTCCCTCTTTGGCTACCATTTCCTACTTAGAGTGCATTAGCTCTGATTCCTCACATTCTGTGTTTGCCATTTAAATAAATACTGCCAGTTCCATGCCACGGACGCAGGGACTGTGTGCCCAGCTGGGCTCAGCAGTGCTCTACCAGCTGGTCTGGCTCTCTTGTTTCACCCAGAAATCATGTAATGGTAGAAAAGGTTAAGTGGGAAGAGATCTCTGGAGATCTTGAATCCAGCCCCTGTTCAAAGCATGGCTAACTCTGACCAGACTGCTTAGGGCTTTTTCCAACCAACTGTTGACCACCTCCAAGAATGGAGATTCCCGCTTCTACGGTCCCCTTCCCAGGACTGCACCACTCTCACAGGAAGGTTTTTCCTTATGTCCAGCCAGACTTTTCCTCATCACAGCCTTTGTTCCTTGCCTCTTGCCCCATCACTGTGCACTTCAGAGAAGACCCCAGCTTCAACTTCTCTGTAACCCTCTTTAGGACTGCAAGTTAAACTCCACGCTCACCTTCTCTTCTCCAGGTGAACAAACCCAATTCCCTCAGCCTGCCCTGTGCTTCAGCTCCCTTTCTCGACGGCCTCAGCTGAGCTCCAGTGTAACAATGTCTTCCTTGAACCGGATTACCCTAACTGGATCCAGTATTCTGAGTGTGGGCTCCCAAGCAGGAAGAATGGCCACTTGCCTCAGCCCAGTGGCTGAAACTGAGTCCATCTGGGCGGACTGGGAGCTGTGAGCATGACTGTGCCTTTGTCTCCCTCAGACAGCCCAAGGTTTTCACTGATGACACACAGGGAAAAACAGAGCAAGGAAACTGAGACACATCTTGTGTGGGAAACAGTGTGACCTGCGCTTCATTGCTTTAATAATGACTCTTTTTTCAACCCTCTTCTGCACACGCCATCTCCCAACTAATTTACAAAAGCACTGAATGTGGTTCAAAGGCAGAACTGTATGCCCCTGGAAAGTACTGACCTGTTTGTCAAAATGTTTAATTGCAGGCTCATGGTGCAGCTCTAGTGCTGTGTTTTCATACAGCTAAGCATTACATTACATTCTGTGCAACAACTGGTCACCAGTTTTCAGGTACCCAAACCAGTAGCTTTGCCTTTCTGGCGGGAAGGGTCTCCAGTAAGGAAGTAGGGGGGGCTGGCAGGCTGACCCCAGCGGGCAGCTCCGTGGGCTCTGCAGGCAGCTGAGGCCGGGTGAACCCCTGGGGAAGGGGAAGGGGAAGGGGAAGGG